CTGACAAAATAACAAGAAAACGTAGTTGTCGATCTGAGACACCATCTGAAGCAAACAGTGTCGAGCATGACGCACACAAAGAAGATGCCAAGAGAACACGAACTGAACTTCGCACAATGCTTGAGCGCAGGAAGCCAGTATATTTTGATGATTACGTGATGAACATGGCCCCGATGTCGCCACAAGTTTTGGATCAAAACGGAAAGCCTATCGACTACATTACTCTACCTAGAAGTCACCATGAATTGTTGAACTCTAGATGGAAAGAAAATTTTCTCGCAGCAGAGTTAGAGGAAATAGATGCGCTTCAATCCAAGGGTGTGATTGCAGAAATTGAGAGTACAAAGGTTCCAAAGACGGCGATACTAATAAATACCTTGTGGGTATATGCTGTGGAGACCGATCAACAAGGCTACGTGATCATATTCAAAGCACGAATAGTGGCTCTAGGGAACCACCAGCGGCCAGAAATCGATTTTCACGCAACATTTGCTCTTGTGGCAAGGATGTCTTCGTTCCGGCTACTGATTGTCAAGCATCCAAGCTTGGTCTTGGCATCTATGGTGGGGACATAAACACGGCGTATCTTAATGCCTCACTCAGTATCAAGAAATGCCTACGATCGATAAGTGGATATCCGTGCAAGGAAATTGGAAAAGCGTACATTGTTCAAAAGGCATTATATGGGCTTCGTCAATCAGGACACGAGTGGAACTCGGAGCTTAACCCATGGTTCCTAGAACATGGCTATGAGCGGTCGCGAACGGAGCCATGTCTGTATTATTGTTTCCATGGAAACAAGATCGTATATGTCCTGGTCTTCGTTGATGACATATTGATTGCGACCAACAATGCGGACTACAAGATGAGCCTACTAAATGACGGAAACGTCGATTATGGAATCAAAGATCAAGGATTACTGACCCAGTACCTTGGTATCGAAGTGGAACAGACAGAAACACAGATCACGATATGTCAAGAACAGTATGCAAAGGAGATTCTACGGAAGTTTGAGTATGATAAGGCACATGATGTGGGCAACCCTATGGAAGTTAATATGCGACTGGCGAGTGATGATACGAACAACAAACAAACAAGAGACACTGCATTCCCTTTTCGTGAAGCTATCGGGATGCTAATTTATCTGACGACTAGTACCAGGCCTGATTTAGCATTTGTAGTGGGCCAGCTGAGTCGATTCGTCGCCAAACCACACACCAAGAGTATCGGAACGTTGAAGAGAGCTTTACGGTATGTGGCAGGTACATTGCACAATGGCATTACCTAAGCCAGACAGAATTAAGACATGATGAACAACAACACGATGCACATTGTAATCGAAGGATATTGTGACAGCGACTGGGCTAAGGATCCCGAGCAACGCAAGATTACTACAGGTTATATGTTCACATTGGCTGACGGTGCTATCGCATGGATGTCCCTACGACAACCGATTATCGCGCTATCGACAGCAGAGGCTGAGTACGTAGCTGCCTGTGAAGCAAAAATGGAAGCGATGGCTGAGTACAACATCCTACAAGACATACTACCACCACAGTGCCAGATCAAATTACGCATCGGTATCGACAACCAAGCGACTCACATCATGGCGACATCTCCGACGTACAGTCGCCGGACACGTCTTATTGAATTACGGTGGCATTACGTGAGGGAACAAGTTCAAAACGGTGATATTGATCTACATAAGGTCAAAGGCGAGAACAATCCAGCTGACATGTTTACCAAGCCTCTTGACAAGAAGCGTCTTCGCAAATTGACGCACTTGACTGGTGTGGGTGACTGATTGTGATCGAAGAGTTCTCTTCGAGGAGGGCGTGTTGGAAATGGAAGTGTTACAAAGAGGAACATAGATATATTAGGTCGTTGTTTGGGAAAAGGACAGGTAGTTATGTGGGAACAGAGAACACCGTTATGACTGGTAAGGACGTCATATGGGAACAGGGAATACCGTTAGGATAGGAAAGAATACCAGTCAGTACCACCTCAATATATTTAGTCTTCATTTTACCTTCTAGTACGCAAGTGTGGGTGTGAACCAACACATAATCTAACAGAGCATCATTTCGACGTCACGAAATATCGTTTCTTCTTCGGAGGGAAAATAGCAGCGCCACATGTGGTCGTATGTGATGGAATGATCAACACTTGTCACTCACTTTGTACTGCACGTTACGAACGACAAAGCCACTACACATGGTGTTTGGCAGCCGTTGATTTGTACCTTTACTCAGCTAAATAGGGGCTGTACTACTCTATCTGAGTATGGAGAGTTGTTTTCACATATTTTGTTACTTTTTTAATTTCTGCGCTGAAATAGACCATGAAAAAGGAGCCAAACTTTCCTCAAAATGCTGGCCTCCGTTATTTTTTAACATAGAACCTTGAGACGTTGAAGAGTCCTTTTCATGCGATTAGTCGGCTGCTACGCGATTCCAAGACATGTTGGGCCTGAGGCACTGAATGGTGGAGCTCAAATGCTGCGCCCTTCCGACGTTGTCGCCACATAACGCTTGAGACACTGTCACACCTATTCGGCGCATTTGCAAGGCGCTGCGTGAGCCATCTTCGATGGGCGACTGTGCGCTTCCTCGTCACTGCATGAATACTGAGGCCATTGCGAGGTGGCCAGTGCAGATGCTACTCGGAACCTCTGGCAAGCGATTGTTGTCGATACCTTGTACATGTCACAAACGTATTTTCAACATGCGCTCCTCCTACCCCTATGGTCCCTACCGTAGACTTACACATACGAAAGTGGTCTGCCTGAAAGTCGCAGAAACATATCTGGTCTCCATCAGCCATCACTATCAGTCATCGCGATCGCCTGTCACACTTGTCAAGTAGATCCAGGTCGAGTTTGCACGATAGAAGCTGCTGGCCGCGTGATCATTGGCGAGTGAGACCATGTTGTCGTCCGCCGCGCAAGTATTCTTTCGCCAAGCTACAACGTCTCGTAAGTGGCGCCATCTGTAGACGGTACTTCAATAATTGGACTGCTTCAACAAGGATTAAAGCGGTTCAAATCGCGCAACGCTAAAGCGTGTCGTGACACATCACCGCGTCTTGTCTGCCGAGCCCGTGTCCTTGATGGGTTATTAGCTCGTGGCACCCACACCAGAGACCGATTCTTGCGATCGTCTCCGTATTGCACCGCGTTCGGTAGCAGAAGGAACATCGGTCTTCATTTGGTCCACCCCTCGTCAGCTATGCTGCAACGCCGTCACCGTATCCGAGCTTCAATATCTACACTTTTGGACGTGCGCAGCCAACGCCGCGGCAGCTGGTAGTTCCGCGACACACCAGCGGTCCATGACAAGCTTCAAGCTGATCTCAGAGGTTGCTCATTGGTCACGCAAGTAGCGCACGGCGCACTCAGTCCTAAGATTTGAGAACTACGGCGTTTGCATTCGTATGCAATTAATTAAAAGCGTGCGGAAACACAATTGCGCTCTCGGCATTGGCAACGTCACTTGGCGGCAAACAGCGACACGGCAGTCGGTGCCAACCGCTTCGTCTGCAGTCGAACACAAACGCGTGTCGCGCCATCAGACGAGTGGTGAACAATGTGCGTCATCCTTCACGAACCATTTCGTGGACCCACTCCTGCTGTTACTCTAAACCTGACCTGACCGAATTTAAGTAGCCCCTGGCCCCGAATCTCCGCCCACTGCAAGCAAAGGGTTTGTCCAACAAATCACGTTCTGTGGTTCAGATACGAGGGAGCGCTTTCCCTCATATTTTCGCGACAGAGAAAAAGTGAAAGAGAAGGGAAAGCGAGGGAGAGAGGTAACCCAAAGGGCATCGCGCCACGCATGTCGCGGTCACTGGGCGCGCAGTTGTCGCTCGGCTTTCGTACGTGGGGGGGGAGGGCGCTGCAGCTGTTGCGGACCACATCGCCCATCAAGAGTCTACGTGCCACTTCCTGCTGCTGCAGCCGAAGACGGCACGCACACGCGGGCAGAAGAGCCAATGTGGCACGCCAATAGGGGACACGTCGACGGGGCAGTAAGCAAATGTTGTCAGCAATTATGATCAGTCACCCGAAGGCGAGCGGACTTTAAGGACCAGAGCTGCATGAACGATCAAGTTCGGTTCGCGACGCATGCGCCATACCAGACTCTGGTACAACACTGACGTTGACACACGCCGACAGGCGCGACAAGCACACACATGTATATCGGTTGTCAACCACTGGAGCGCAAACGCAAAGGTACGGGCGCTACACTGATGGCGTCACAATCGCGCACGGTACGTAGTTCTGCCCTGTGTTTAAAAAGAAACGGCGCACTGAACGTTTTCTCACGCCCGTCTCTCCCGACAGCTGGCACGTGCGGATCTTATTCTCGACAGTAGATGTGCACGCGCGCCTGGTTTCTGCACATCATGCTGTACACGAGGCTAAGCCCATTTGCCGGGTCGTTCCCACCACATTAACGCGCTCCGCCTCCATGCTCGACGATAGGCTATTCGATACGACAGCTACCCGCGAGATCTTGTATAGTGCGACACTCGGACTAAGTGCGGTGTCTCCGCGCGTTGGTTGGTGCGGGCAGCAGCGGGGCAGCGGTCGTCGCTCCGGCTGCCTCGTCTTTGCGTGCCCCTCAAATGCCCAGATGCTTGGCACGCCACGACAGTAGCAGTCGCAGTCGTCCGCTAAGTTCCGATCCCGCCCACCCGTAGCCACGGTCACCCAAGACGCGGCGGCAGACAGACCGCCCGCTTGCCCGCCCGCCCGCGACACAGAGGCGAGTTTTGCCAACGAGTAGTCCCACACCCACGGCCCGAGCCACCGCGGGCGCCACGCCAGCTTATAAAACGCGCCACGGAGGCAGCCAATCACCACCACCTGCCGCAGCACGCGCAGCAGCAGCAACAACAAGGCGGCGCGCCCCCTTCTTCTTTGTGTGGTTTGTGTGCCGACTGGAGCGGGTGCCGCATCATCACAAGAGGTCGACGCGGTTGCCGTTGGGAGAGCGCCGATGAATGAGCTTACGCCCAGTCACTCCGCGCCCTCGCAGTCGCGCGCGCTCGCGACGTCGTACGCGTTTGCCGCACCTGCCAACGCGGTGAACCTCGTGGCGATGGACCGCAAGAGGTTAGCAACACGCACACCCACTGCTTTCGTTGTTTCCTCTCTTGTTGAACGTTGAAGCAAGCACCCGTTCGTCCGTTTCCCTTTCCCCCCGTCCCGCTTCGCCCCCCTGTCGCTTTGGACGCGTTCGTCTACAGACACAAAATGGGGGTTGGCTTGCCTTGTTTCCCCCTCACCTAGAGGCAGTCCGTTGCGAATCGGGTCGGTCGGTCGGTCGGTCGGGTTCATCGGCTGGTCGGTCGGTCGGTCGAAGGGGGGTTGTGTCCCGTATAAATACGAGTCACGCGTACAACCTTCGGCCAGCGGAATGGGTACAGAAGACCCCAACACTGTGAACGAACCAGCGAGGAGGGAAGGGGAGCCAAACGGACGGACGGACGGCTATTTGATACGCTTTTTTGTTTTCTACTCGTGTGGCTGCAACGGACCAATGCAGGAAAGCAAAATGGACGGTGACTAATCGGTTTCTGCTGCTATTGTTGTCCTTGTTGTGGCTTTTTTCTCTCTCTGCTGTGCTCTCTCTCTCTTTTGTACCGCTTCTTCGTGTGTGTGTGTAGTTTCCAAGGAGGCACGCGAAGCAGTGGCCATCAGGGCGCAGCGAAACAGTTCTCGTCGCACCCGCAACAGCTGCAACAAGTGACGGAGTACCACCATCCAGCTGCTGGACCTTATGCGACCCCAAGTTATCCGCATCTCAAGAGCCAGACGGACACTCGAGCAGTGGGCTCGAACGGAGGCAAGTTTGAGTACGCCCCCACCAGCCAACAGTACTCGCCCCACCCGAATCAGCAGCAGCAGCAACAGCAGCAGCAGCAACAGCAACAACGACAGCAGCAACAACGACAACAACAACAGCAGCAGCAACAACAACAACGACAGCAGCAACAGCAACAGCAGCAGCAATCGTTTGCAGCGCCATTCGGATACCCGTCGTACGCGCAGAGTTACAATGGCACTGGAGATTATGGGCAGCAACAGCACCAGCAACAGCAGTCCTCGCAGCAGCAGCAGCAGCACTATCACGGAGATTACGCTCAAGTAGGGGAAACGAATCCTCTCGGTATGCTCGTAAGCTCGGCAACCAATTCCCAGGCGCCGCACGAGGCCATGCCTCATGATCACGTCAACATTGGGCTCAAGGACGGTGGGGATCGCAAGTATCGGCAGCAGCAATACAGCGTCGTCGCCACCGACTCGTTTCTGAGTTCCAGTGGCACGTACGTGCACGGCGTCGAGCGTCCTGGGAACGTAGTGCAGCTAAAAACGACGCCGAGCAGCTCACAGCAGCAACAACAACAGCAGCAGCAGTCCATGTACCAGCGCCCGAACATGTATGGTGACGGCACCACGTACTTCTCGCAGCAGCAGCAACAACAACAGCAACAACAAGCGCAACAACAGCAACGGACGCAGGATACGTCTCAGCAAAATCCACTGGATTTAGTGCCTCCTAGTGCTGCTGCCATGGGAGCGAGCTTTGGCGCCCCAGTCAATATGGGACGAGGGATGATCAGCAGCGTCAGCGGGATGTTCGGGGTAGGAACGCGCATGCCGCAGTTCAGTCCTGGGGCTTCGGGCACTTCGTTGACGACGCGGTTAAAAGACGGATGCATGGATGTTTCGACCGGCGTTACTCCGAACGCCAGCCACATGTCGTTCATGCAGCAACAGCAGCCTGCTGCAAAGTCGCTGGAGCTCGCACATTCGGCCTCGTTGTATGCGGACGTTAGCAGCTCGACGACCTCCATGTCGATGGTGAGCTTGTCTTCGGATGGCCCGACGACGGCACCGATCAATTCGTACCCGCCTTCGTCCCAACTTAGTACGAGCAGCGGGGACACATGTGGGTTGTGCAGTGGCACCCACAGCGACAGAATTGCAAGTCATTGCGGCCACCGGTTTCACGCTCAGTGTCTGCATACATGGGGAGGGTTGACAACGTGTCCAATGTGCGCACAGGTACGGTCGTTTGTAGGGTTTGTGCTCCTTGTGTTGCGTACGTGGCACTAACGTGCGATCGTATGCGTACAGGCATCGAATACTATCACGAGCCTCCCGCAGGCAAACGCCATCAGCTATGGTCTTGGAGCAGAGAGCGTGTCGGCTATCTCACAAGGCTCAGCAGGGCGAGAAGAAGGACCGATGAATAGTGGAGGAGGAGGTGGTGGTGGTACCATGAACAGCAGTGCCACTGACGCTGGTAGCAACACTGTGTCCATATCATCAAACTCGATGAATTCCTCGCAAGGCACAGCAACGAGCACTATGCACATGGCCAATCCTGTGCATGGCGGGAGGCCGCCGCCCATTGACACGCGTATTCATGACAACCGAATGGGGCCAACGTCACTCAGCGCGGGCAAGCGTAGTGCGACGTCCACTCGGTCGGGTTCCAGTAGTGGCGGTCGCGTGCGCAAAAACAAGAAGCTGAAAGACTGCTCTGTACCAGGATGTGATCGCACGGTTCGCTCGCGAGGACTCTGCAAAGGTCATGGCGGCGGTCGCCGCTGCGGGTTTGCTGGTTGTGGACTCAGCGATCAAGGTGGTGGCTTTTGCATCAGTCATGGCGGCGGCAAGCGCTGCCAGCACGAGGGTTGTGATAACTCAGCCCAGTCACGGGGGCTATGCAAATTGCATGGCGGTGGCAGTCGTTGCACGGTTCCTAACTGCACGAAAAGCTCGCAAGGACGCGGACTCTGCCGCGCTCATGGTGGCGGGCGTCGTTGCATGGTCGAAGGTTGCAATAAGACCGACCGTCGTGCCGGCTACTGCGTCACGCATGGTGCAGACAAGAAGTGCATCGTACCCGAGTGCTCCAAGACGGGTCGTATCGACAATATGTGCACAAAACACTACTTTGAGCGTCACCCGGCGCAGCCGCCAGGAACAATAAGCACGACACCGCCTCCTGTCATCACTGTCAATGCCAACACCAGTGCGGCAAGAGCCCGTGCGGAGAGAAAGAGGGCAGTTGAACAGCAAGATGCCGCGAATTATGCAGGCATGTCTTCCGTGATGCTTGCTGGCCCCGTGTCGGCTCCCAACGCGCTCTTTGATGCACGATATGGTGGAGCGATGACCAAGGCCGAGCCGTTTTAGGCATCTATCTCGAGTTGGCTTGCATCGCTACGACTGAACGCTGCTGCGCTAGTCAGGAGATGTACAGATTGAGCTTCTGACTGGCTGCGTGGGCGAACATGGTAGTGACGCCAGCATGGGAGTGGTCGACCGGGTGTACCGAGGATGTATGTGTACCGGGGGTAAAAAAGGGCGGGATGGAGTTATATGTCAAAGACGCGAGCTGAATGGAAGCTATGGATAAAGAATTGGCTGTGCGGCGACTGGGGTGAATTGAATGACAGATAGAAGTAAGAAAGTGGAGACGAGACTAGCGGTCACGGTGAAGTTGAAGTGACTTGGCTGGAGATGAAGACAAGATGAAGACGCACAGCGCGGATGAAAGAAATGGGCGTTTGCCCAAGGCCAAGTGAATGAAGATGGCTATTACAAGATTGAAAATTGCACAAATAGCGCACCGGCTGCAGGTGAAATTGAACTGAAAATTACAACTTTTGAAGTGCGCGAGGAGCGAAAGGTGGGAAGCAGTAACGAAGAATAAGTAATTGGAACGCCAGGGCAGCGCCGCAGTAGGTTTAGTAGCGTGCAACGCTCTCCTCAGCCGAACGCGAAAAGACGATTGACGCTCATTGAATTGCGGAAATACGAAGCGGACGAGCGAGGAAGCGATCCCTTGCATATAGGAAAACAAAAGTAAAGTGAGCACCTCCTTAGAAATTAAAATTGGGGAGGAAGTTGAGGAAATGACGAAGTTCACAGGTAAATGATCAAATTGCTGTAGTTCTCTTGAACGTAATCGACTGCCTGATACTCACGTGCTCTTCTCTACTCGTGTTGTCTCTTGATCAAGGCAGTGCGTCGACCATGTACCGCTTGAGTGGCCTTTGATCTGTTCTCCGCGCATCTCGTTCTTCTCACCCACACGACGTTCTTCCTGTGCACTCATTCTGACGAGCTCAGCCTATCCAAACAATCACCCGCTTGCTTTCCAGCAAATGCTTCCTCATGGTCCCCCACAGCCCTTGACTAGCGTCGAATTGGAGCTCTCGAGCGCCACTGTCGCCGTGATGGCCATTCTCTGAGCGTTGTTCCGCCCTTTGACGTTTGCAACAAGCAGCTGCACCCGCTCGTGAGACATCGTAGGTCGGCCCATCTGGCAGACGGACGACGCAGTGTCATCCACAGACGTTGTTTCAGGTTGTTCTGAATGCAAAGCGCGACAAGCGCGCAGCGAAATGGACAAATGCCTGCGAGAAAACGTCCAGCATGCCGCAGGCGCTTCTGTCGATCTTGCGCTGGACAATCCATGTCCATCATCATCGTCGTCAGCTACCAGACGACGCACAACTCCGGTACTCGTCAGAAGCTCCAGCCAATAAGGGTATGTTCTGACGGGAAAACTCATCGACCCGTGGAACGCTGCTGGCTGACACGGTGGAACACCACCAGTGCCATTCGTGTCGTTCCTGACAGTCCTGTCTGGCCAAACTTGACTAGGCGTAGCATCCAACGTCCTCGGCGATCAGAAGAGCGCGACAACCGCTTGGTAAGCTCTGCCACTCTGTCAACAACCGGTCAAACTTTGATGAAAGCGCCGATCAGCTGATCGTCATCTAGTCGCTAGCTCGCACAAAGTTTCTCACATTCTCCCTGGAGCGCTGAAACACCACAGGGTGCGCATACACCGAAGGTGTACTGAGGAGGAGGCCTTGTTGTCCGCAGTATCTGTGTGATGCTTTTGGAGCAACCCGTACTGGCCCTGCTGACTCGCTTTTGTCGTCCTGACTGGAACGGCTTACACACGTTACCTGCGCGAAACACTAGTAGCGAGTAGCTCCTCAAACAGATAGGAATCAAGCCGTACCTGAGACGATAACGAACGACCATACTGCGTCACCGCCCTTTTCGATGGCATACATGAGGTGCCAATTTCGGTGGAGCAACCGCTGCCTTGGCGACCGGGTGCTGCACTGGACGTGAAAGACGCGTGGTGCAACTTTATGACTCGACATGATCCAAAGCTACTAACCACATCATGCAGAGGTCTGCTGCGAGAGATGTGGTGACCGAATATCGATCAGGCGATGGCTTTTGATGTACCGACAGCACGCACGCGTGTTTCGGGGGCTATGACGCACAATTCGTTCCCATCTCTTTGGCATAACCCCACACACTATCGCTTCAATCAACGCTGAACGGAACGATAGTCAACTCCAGCAGCTCGCACGATGACCGAGTGAGTGCTTTGCTGGTCGATGAGCGGGAGACAGGACGCCGGGTTGGCGCCGCTGAAACTGACATCGAGACGCAGTATCGTTCTCGCAAATCGCTCATGCAGAAGTTCCACAGAAGGCACGAGTACCGCTTGTCAAATTTTCCGATCCTTTCACAATGGACAGTCCATGATTTGACAGGTGTGCACGAACGAACGTGTTTGAGATGAAAGAATCGGATGAACCTGGCAAAAGAAAACAAAGTCGTCAATGTCATACGCTCATCCTCTTTCCAATCAAACTTCTCAACGGACCCTGTTGAGCAATGCTTGTTTCGTGCGTCACCTGCAACATTCGGCACGATAAGTGTTGCACCTGATACGACATCGGGTTAGTGCCCAGCAGCATTTCAACAGCTCTGGTTTGCACAATACGTACAGAAGAATCGCAATTGCTACAATTACAAAGCCACGAACATGTCCAAATTTGCGATTCCTGTACCTTTTCATCCCTATAGCTGTGCCGTCAGCAGCTCGTTCACCACTTCCGATATGTTCGGCGGCTTGGTTCCACTCGGCGCATCCAGGCACCACTATCAACAACGGCGACACATGCGTTAGACTATCAGTGATCCTCAAACAAAATTGGTGAACCGAAGTAAAGCCACATCTTTGAATGCGCGGAGGTAACGATGTCTACAGCAACCGCTCGAGATGGAAGTACTTCCGTTACCGCATGATCGAATCCCGATTTGACACTCGCAAACCTTAGACCTTCGACAAGCTCGGGGGGCTTGAATGCAAGCAATATGCGATATACGTGAACAGCTTCGGGCACGTCTTACCTTCATCAAACTTAGTCAGAAGGTCAACATTCGTTTCGGCATCGAGCTGTACCTTTCCGTCAATTGACACAGCGCAATCGTCCGATGGTAAACCGAAGATGCGCTGCAGACATCACCAGGAAAACAAATACATGCTACTCGGCACTTCCATGTCGACAACAGTAAAGACACTGCAGCACGCGGACGATTTTTTTCACCAGGTATCCCAAACTCGCACATGCGTCGTAAAGCATGTACAATGTGTTTGCCGTCTGAGTCGTCCATATTGAGAGCTCTCGCAACAGCGAAGCTCCATGGTCTTTTGTCGAAGCACTCGGTGTGAGACCATTCAACTACCCATGACTTGCCGACGGTGTACTGGTCTCACACAACGCGCTCCGCCGCAGTATCTACATTCCAGCAACACCAATATGTCCGGTGCTCCATTTGTCGTTACCAGTCGTGCAAACGGCCTTCGAGCTTTGATCAGCTGCAATCATTCCAATGATTAACACGAGCGTACAATACACGCGGCCCATCCTTCACCGTTCCGTCTAATACGATCGAACTACCGAAGCAGAAGTCAAGGCGACCGCAACAATGTCATTCCACGTCACCGACAGCGCAGAAGCACATCCTCTTGTCGCTTGTATGGCCCAGCAGGTTCAATTGTGCCTATCTTGCAAACCCGGAGCTCGATCATTGTCCCACGATAGTGCCCAGCTCGAACGTATTGGCAGCAGTGAAGCAAACGAAAGCAACCCAACTAAGCCATCGTGTCATGACATGCAAAAAGTGGCCCATGTTTGTGATTGCTCAGGGCCGTTTTGTGGAGTGCCATGACTTGTATTGATGCATCAGTCCGAACATCACGCAGTAGAGCAGCAAAAGGAAAAGCCATGATACTCGGCCATTGTTTACATGTCGTGCGTGGCCAGCGCGTATTCATTCGATGCCAACATTTCAGGAAAACTTTTCTGTAGTCCACCAACTTGTAAACAGTCAAAACGATTCGTCTGCTATTTAGCATCACGAACATGTATTATAAAACGCTTACTAGCAACACTCCCCCCCCCACACAGACACAAACACCAATGTAAATTACGGCAATTCAGTGTGTGCCAAGATAAGCACTGAATAGCCCAATGTCGACAACCTCATCTCTCTCAAACAATATACTATACCACCGTTTTGTCCACGATCAGCAGAGAAAAGACACTGTTTGCGCGGGTTTGTACACGGCCAATAAGGACCGTCTTGGTCTCGTCGCTACATCTTTGCTACCAACGTGAGTATCGCTGACGCAGTAGTCACTCGCGCGGGGTACATTCTCTACCCTTCTATTCGTTCCTGAGCATTTTTTTCGTGCACCAAACGACGGGACTAAAAAAGAGACAGAGACGAGCAGATCACACTCATGAGCGCTGCAGTGGCCGCCGAGAGCAGAGTGTTTGAGCACAAGACCGTGGCCGGAGGCAAAGACATTCGAGTGGCCTGCGCAACGTGGTACGCAGTAGCGTTGTCGCGTGATATTCCGTACGCCTGACGATGTAATTTACGCTTTCTTGACGCTTTTTATTATTCGTTTTTTTTATTGTTGCGGTGACGCAGTACGTTTCTAAACGCGGCCGACGCGACTTGTTGCGGTGTGTGCGGGTACGACGAAAACTGTGCTGCATTTCTATCGCAGTGGTGGGGTTTTGACTGTCGCAGAGGTATAAGTAGTGACTGTACTTATTGCTCTGTGCTTTTCATTGCATACAGGTCCGAGACAAAAGCTCCGACGCATGAGGTCCAGGCAGACGGGAGTTGGCACTGTGGAAGCTGGTGCGACAAACGGGATCGTTGTTTTTGTGGTGCTTACGTGTGGGTGGGTCATGAATGACAGCTGAGCGTTGACATTGTTTTGTGTGGTCGTGCACTAGTGAGACAGTGAACCGACGAGCAGCTAAAGAGTGCGCACACTGCCGTCTCCCATTGTATTCACTGGTGACCAGAGCTGCACCGGCTCAGATATTCTGCTCACGCTGTGGGTTTCTCAATGACGGAGACAACTCGACGTGTGTGCAGTGTGACTACACCATCCGCACCAAGCTGGACAAGATTAGCTCGGGATTGAGTGACAGTACGAACTTTCTTGCACGAGATATGGGCATGAACATTCACGTCAAGTGTCCAGGATGTCACATTGTGTGCTACGTACCACCCGCAACGGCGTGTCTGCGTTGTGGATCGTGCCACACCTACTTTGCCTCTCCTTCCGTCGGTGTGGTGACGAATTTTCACATGAGTCGGCTGGCGTCTTCTATATCGAGCTCGTTCATGGGACTCTTTGGCAAAAAGCGCACTGAACAGGAGGAGGATGACATTGCACGTGATCAGGTGGAAGCCCGAGAGGTGCCTGTTGGTCGTCTGATTGCTGTCGGGCAAAGCGCTAGCACATCCTCACATGATCTCGTGCATGCTACGAATGACAAGAGTGAGCCTCCTACGAGCCATCGCGAGAATGAGGTATTGGAGGATGAAGTGGGGGAAAAGCGTGACGCAGCTCAAGCCGAGGAGAGTTCGGATGTGCAAGACGGAAAGCCTCCGGTTTGCGAAAAGTCGGTGAAGGTGGACATGAAGAGCCCGGAAGCACTGGACACAAAGAGCCGGGAAGCACTGGATACTATCGACTGTGCTGGAGACTGTGCTGGGTCACAGAAAGTGGTGGCCAAACCCAAACAGAGTTTGGTTAGGTCAGATGACCTTAGCTCTGGGGATAAGCCGCCTATGCTGGCGCGATCGCTGCCACTCCGTGCAGCGCTTTTGCCACCTCGACAAGAACTGGTACTGGTGGAGGGTGATATTGTGGAGCTATAGCCACGCGTCGCTGAAGCGATCGGAGCCAGGCTAAGCTGATCTATCGACGAAATGGTCACACGACTGAATGTGCATGAAAGACAAGACACGAACGACAATGGCACTGGGTCAAATGTTGCTCGCGTTCACTTATTGGCGAAGCTGCGTGTTGATTAGGAAGTGGCTGGTCTCGCGTCGGCGCCTCGTTCTCGATGGACGCACACATTTGGCGTCATGTTTGCTCCAACTTTATGCTAAAAGTAGCAGTGCATCAGCGAGGAGGCGCAGCTGCAGCGTAGCTCACAAGGTAAAGCTTTGTTGTTTGTTGCTACTCTTTGCGCTACGCAGCGCTTGCCGACCTGGCTACAATACTGATAATTATAATATTGTTAGAATGACGATGATGTGTGCGCCGATGGTAGCTCGTCACCAGCGGTGCTCGTTGTAGTGGATATTGCTTCGATCGTCGGGCGCCGAGTCCCATCGGGTCCGGCGGCCCTGACGTGGCTGCTGTGGAGGCGCATGGTATCGATCTCTTGGCGAGTAAATGTTGTCACGCGGTGAATACGGCAACTGTTGTCTGTCCACAGCAGCGTACGAACTCGGCAGCGTTCCGGCACGAGGCGGCGAGCGGCGAGACGCCTCCTGCCACTGCAGGTTTTGCGACTCCATACTGTGCGCATGGTGGAGCTTGGGTCGCTTGCTAGTAGAGGGCGAGTCGACTCCATATTGGCTGCTGTACTCGCCGTACCGGTCACGCTGTCCGCCGTACTGGTCGAGCTGCCCCTCATGTCGGTGTTGGTTATTGTACCGGTCGTCCATGAAGCCACGATCCGTGGCAGCTGAGGCGCTATTGTGGCGACGGAGCGCAGGAGGATACTGCTGAGGCTCGTCGTACTGGTACGAAGACCTGCGATAGCTCACGTGGCTGGTTCCACTGTCCCTGGTGTTTGTCGACATCGTCGGGGTAACGGGTTGGTAAGAATCCTCGGCCGCCTGGTACCCTGTATACAAGGGGTCCGCAAACGATGCAGCCATAGAAGCTTGTCGAGCACGGAACTCGGCGCGCTGTGCCTCCAGCTGCTTCCTCTCGATCGTCTCGGCTTCGCGAGCTATACCGTAGAGCCTCTCCAGTGCTTGTTCCTGTTGTTCTGCCTCCTCGATTGCTATTGCACCTCGAGGGAACGAGAACAGATCCATGGTCTCCAGCCCCTGCAATTTCTTGATCAGTGCTTCTCGTTTCGCAGCCTGATCCGTGAGGTTCGTGCGATATTGCTCCACGTGGGTCCGACTACTGTCGACGTCCAAGTCGTACACTTGCTGGTCCATCTTGCCCCACGCAATGCCACCAGCCACAGGGTACGTCCGGTTCTCCTCTTCGCCGACCACCACGACCTCGTCGTCTTCTTCCTCGTCTTGCTCCGCACACGCGTGATGGAAGACACTGATACTTGACTCGAGCTGGAACATGCGGTCGCTCAGCATATCGGCACTGATGGTCGCGTTCACGAGATCCTGCAAGTGCGTCGCCAACTGCGTCGTTGCTGCAGCTTCCACGACCTCTGGCATGTCTTCCAGCACGCGCTCCACTGCAGCTTCACTCGTCATATCCTGCAACAGTCTCGCCGTTGTCTCTTCTGGATCTGCATCCGCTTCCGGCACGTGCTCACTGCATTACCAGTCACAACAATACACACACATACATACAGCCGCAAGTGTCAGCCTATTCTGCTCTAGTGTCCATCCAGCAGACCACTGCATCGTCATCTCTCTCTCTGCATATATATGTATGTATCTATGGACTCGTACACTGCGGGTTTGCCTGCACAGACGTTCTCGAGCATCGCAAGCAGCGACGGCGTCACCACGCCGCGCTCTTTCCAGATGCCCACGATCTTGATAATGCACCGCTTGACCTTTTCCTCGCCCTCGCTCATGACAAAGTGCACAATCTCCACGAGCACTTCTTCGAACGCCGCGGCAATGTGCCGTCCAAACTTGCGCACACCCACTTGCATGGCGTCGTTGGCGACGTACAAGTAGACGATCTGGTGCTCGGGCTCGCGCTCGCGGATGAGGTCGGCCCACTGCGCGACGATCTCGCGCAGGTTCTGACGGTGCGTGAGGATCCATTGTGACACCTTCTGGATGCTCTGCGTCGTCACTTTGGCCTGGCGCAAGAGCTTCTCGAGCTTCGAGCGCGAGTACATGGCGCCGGTGCGGACGAGAGGCGGCGGAGGTGTGTGTGCTCCACTCAATTTGGTCCGCGCCATTTGGTCTGCTGCTTTTGGTCTGCGCAATTTGGTCTGCTGCTTTTTGGTATGCGCAATTTAGACCACTAAGTCGGGTTTGATTGAAGCCCTGGGCGGGAGTCACACAGAGAGTGACTATTGTGCTACATGATAAAAAACCTGTTTAGATCGTGATATGCGTCTGGCAAGAAGTGCACTGGGTGACGTCGTTCATGCTGTTCGCGGACTGCATCTTTGGGCAGTGTATGACATTTGCAGCAGTCTCGCGATGGAGGTGTTTGTTCGATAGAATGTGACAGTGCAGTAGTTATGTGGGGTTGACGAGCCCTCGCATTGAACGAGTTGGCCAGTTACGTTTGGCTCAGATGCGTTTGACACGTCGGTTTGTTGTTCTTCAATGCTTCGGATCTCGTCATCGTGATCGCCAGTGTAGCTTTGACATGGCTCGCAGATGGTGCCGCTGAGCAGAACGCACGTACAGATCTTGTGATGGTAAATGAGGCGCACGTCCAGAGCTTTTGCAACCCACGAGATGCCAGATGGATGATAGGCAGACAAGCAGCGACGCACCAGTCCATGCATAGGTCGTGCATCGGAGTTGCACGCACTTTGTTATGAGTTTGCGGATACGCTGTTCGAAGCTCTTCGCGTGCTTGAGTTGAGTCGCAACGCCCGGACCAGAGACAGAGGTCGCTGTATACTTCGTACGACCGCTGCTTGCTACCTACCGTACTCGGGTCGTATGCAATGCCGTCCAGTTGATGTGGCGGTCGGTCCATCGGGTATGATGGGGGTAGGAAGCTACAGTCGTCGCTGCATAGCGCTGTTAGGCGTGCACGGTCAATCTGCTTCCGCGACGAGAAATGCATCTTGCTCCGTTGCTGCTTGCGCGTGTGTGCACACAGTAAGAAAGTGTACATATATTACAGCGCCTCGTCTACTTGTTGCCGCGAGCGCTTCCTCTCTATTTCGTGGCTCTTGTTTACGCACACGCACAAAAAGGGACAACGTATCGTCACGATCGACCTGTCTGCTGTGCCATCTTCACAATGCCACGTCCAGCACGACCGGATGCGTTCGTACTGGCGCATGCAGTGGACGTTACGTTCGCCACGCAATGCGTTAGAATCGCCTGTACGCAAAGTGGGTCGGTGGATGCCGCTCGCGACGTCGTAGGATACAGGCAAACGTGACCACCATAAGGGCCCCAGCGCACACGAGAATGCTACCTATTCCAAGCCACAGCGTGTACTTCTCCACGAGGTTTAGGAACTCCACACGGCAGATGGCGTACGGAGCTGTCCCGACCAAAGTGCTGCTGCTGTCGCCGGTGCGAAGGAACCCGCCGCAAAACATCAGCGACTCGGCAGTCCGAGGGCACTTGTCGTTCGCCCAGTCGATCACGGACGAAAAGTTCTGGAACTGACGCGCCTGGTTGCAGCCATCGCATACCTCTGCTATCTCGACGTAGCTCCCCAAGTACCCGTCACAGAGGGCGTTGACACCGCCCGTCACGTTCTCAAAGAGCGAGACAATCGAGGACGGCAGTGCCGGCACGAACATGTCCAGCGCTTCGGAGATGGACGCCTCGTTGCACACGTAGGCACCTTGTGCGTAGCAATACGCTTGATCAAACGTGTCTTTCACAGAGGCTTCGTCACTGTTGGCTGGGTACACTGACCGTTCCCAGTCGTTGGCGCGATGCCGAATGGCAAAAGCTATGACTGCTGCGACCACGAAGATCGCAAAGATGAGCAGTATGAACGCCGCGTAGATGCACAACCCAATGCGCCAGCGACAGAGCGCAGCAACAAAGCCGAGTACAGCGAGGCCGATAATGACGCTGCCGATGACAATGAGCGCAGTAACAATGCCGTGGATAGGAGACCAGTAGCCTTCAATCACGTCAACCCATCCTGTCTGCTGGAAGTACAGACCAACGTAAAGCACCAGCGCACCGCCGAGCGCGAGGACGCAGTTGATCACAATGAGGATCAACTCGCACACGGCCATTGTCGAGATCGAGGCAACGTTCGGGAATACCAGCGAACTGCCAGCGCGTGGGGCCGCCGCTGTGGTCGCTGACCATAATGGACTTCGTGGGTGGCACCGACATAGCCATCAACGACTACAGCCGTCGCAGCCGTCGTTTCAGTGGGCCTCGTTGTCCGTCGTCATGCCTCCATCAGACTACAGACGACGACCGAGGCACTTACCTGTTGTAGTCGTGCAGCATGCGTGGTCCAACGGCATCATCCATCCACTTGTTTGGGTAGTAGGTTCGGTCTACTGCAAGTGCAGTGCCGAGCGAACTGCCTCGTCGACGGTGTTTTCATGTCGCACTGACGTTGGAAGCACACATGTGCTGCTACTTGTCGCTGCGATTGGGTCGTGCGAGGACAAGAACGCCGTCCGTTGTTGCGAGGCAGACCACCTCTGACTGCTCACAAGTGGGTCCGAGGTATGCAGTCCCACAATATGCATCCGATAGATGTTCCCCTGTACTTGCGGGGATCGACGGGTGTGGCACGACCGACCACGTCGTCTTCGGAACACCGCAAGTGTCCTCAATACTTCTGAGCTTGAGACGTCGTATCGTTCTTCTCGTGCACTCGATTGTAGACTGGACGTCGAGATGTGATCATCCGCTCGCACGTTGGGCATTGGGTATGCAACTGGTTCATGCAGCGAGGGAATACAAAGCTGCTCGACATGCGCTCACATTGAAGAGAGAAAGAAAGTGACGGACCCGTTCAAATACAGGGGAAGAACAGCATGCAGCGTGTGAAGAAGTAGCGACTCGGTGGTGTTGCAACAACTGCCACTCGACTCGTCTTCATTCCCTATACGCGATGCCAAACATTGCATCAAAAGCGACGCTGACCGTTTCTCTCGCTCTACCACCGCAGGAGGCACATACAACAACAGTCGCTCTTCTCGGTCATTCACATGCGACTACACCAGAGCCACAACGCGCCGACATACCTCACCCTACTGCAACATCCATAGAGCACACAACAAGTGGCTGTCGTCCACACCCATCGAAACGTCGTAGCGGTCGTCTGCGCTCTTCTGACCATGTAAAACGGTCTGTTGTTCACTGTATGTATCACACGACCTTATCAACCGACGGACGACGAGCCGACTTCCAAGCAGAAGCCGCAGCCACAGTCGCCGTTATAAATGAGGATGCTACACAGCCTGCGCGGTCTTTTCTATGGCATCTACGGACAAATCGCCGATCGTCCGGATCGTCGTCACTGGCTCGTGGAATCTCTCTCTGCCATAAACGCTTCGAAAGAGCTCTCGGTCTTCGTGTCCACTTTGTAACCCGATCTTTCGGTCGCACGACCTGTTGTGCCGACACAAAGCAGATACAAAGCAGATACAAAGCCAAAGTCATAGCCATAGCCATACGCAATACGCAACATGCTGAAGAAACTCACGCTCGCCGGTGGGCTCTTGATCGCTGTGAACCTGAGCTTCCTCGTGGGTGGCATTCTGCTGCTCCGGTTCAAGGCCACACTCGAGCGAAGCGGATGGACCGATGCACTGGAACACACCGACTACGAGTACGTTGCCCACACTGCGACGTGGATGCTCCAGCTGCTGGGGATCGCTGCCATTGTGCTGGCGCTCGTGGGGATCATTGGCGCTGTGGTGCAGAACCGCTTGATGCTGCTGCTCTATGCGCTCGTCGTGGTCGTCGCCATGGCGGTCTTCGGGGTCCTCGCAGGCCTCGCGTTCGCGTTCAAAGCTAAGATGACTGGCTACGAGGCAGCTGCGTACCCAGTGGACGACCGAGAAGCAGTGGTGGCCACGACGTTCAATCAGGTGTACTGCTACGCGGAGGGGTACTACTACTGTAACAATGCAACGGCTGCAGAGGCGTACACGACGTTCTTCCCCGATGCTCCTGGGGAGCTCCTGAGTCTATTGCCCAATGTCACGGGCATTGTGTCGCTCTGTGGCGAGCTCTCGAGCACTGTGAGCGGCCTGCAGACTGTGTGTGAAGCCTGCAACATGTCGACGACGTTTGCCAAGTACGACCGGATCTTAATGTGGGCCGAGGACAAGTGCCCGCGCACTGCTGTTACGGGTCAGTGGTGCGCCTCGTTCCTCGCCACGGGCACTCCCGGCGAAGCGTACAATGGCGCGCCGTACGGCCAGTGCCGTGCCATTTTTTTTGGCGTGGCGATCGACTGGAGCAACACGATGGCCACAGCCGGTCTGTTGCTGGCGATTGCAGCACTTGTTATTGTGGTCATGACGTGTTTCGCCCGTCGGTCGAAAGAGCGCGTGACAACGGATACCCACGAGGTGCACGAGATGCATAATGGCATGGACAAGCTGGACGACGTGCATGGAAGTCACTAGTAGTAAGTGTACTTGAGGACTGGTTAAAGACTACGAAGACGGCCGTCGTGGCTTTGCTCGCTGCGTACACTCTGCTCATTTGCAGACCCAAATTATTGTCCGATCTATGCTGCCGACCATTATTGGTATACTTCAATAAGCTAAAAGAGCGATTGGCTGGCAGACGAGCACAGGGATCGCGCGTCGCACGTGACCAAACCAGTCGGTCCTCTTCCTCTCTTCCTCTCTGTGTCTGTGTCTGTGTCAGGTATCGCGCGGGCGGCTACGATGGCAACAGGTGGCGAGTTCAAGCGTCTCGTGCTCAAGCAGTTCCCGTCTACGAATGAGGTGGAGACCGTAGAGACGACGTACTGGAAGAAGTTCCACACCCCTCAGGAGCTCCAGCAAGTGGGGGCAGTCACGCACATTGACGTGTCGCCCGTGACGCCGCATCAAGTGGCCATCACGTCGTCCACGCGCATCCACTTGTACAGCACGACGACCAACGAGATCGTCAAGACGTTCAGCCGCTTCCGTGACGTCGTGTACTCGGGCACGTTCCGCTCGGACGGCAAGTTGCTCGTGGCCGGAGGCGAAGCGCCTTTTGTGCAGGTCCTGGACACGAGTACACGTGCGATTCTGCGGTCGTTCAAAGGCCATTCGGCCGCGATCCGCAGCACGCGATTCGCACTCGACAATGTGCACGTGCTTTCGTGCTCGGACGACAAGACTGCTCGGTATTGGGACCTGCCGACGGGGAAACCGCTGGCGCTGCTGGCGGAGCACACGGACTATGTGCGCTCGTCGGCGGCGAGTCCGTCCATGCACAGTGTCTGGGCTACTGGCTCGTACGACCACACGGTGAAGCTCTGGGACCTGCGCACGTCGGACCAGACCGTGTCCAAGAGCACGACGTGTCTCGACCACGGGGCGCCCGTTGAGACGTGCATGATCATGCCAGGAGGAAGCTTACTGCTCTCGGCTGGTGGCAACACGATCAAAGTGTGGGATATCCTCAGCGGCGGTCGTCTGCTGCATTCGTTCTCGAGCCACCAGAAGACCATCACGAGCTTGGGCCTCGATGGCACTGGCACGCGGTTGATGTCGGGATCGCTCGATGGCCACTTGAAGATCTACGACTTGAAGACGTATGAGCTGTCGCATGGATTCAAGTACAACAGCGGCGTACTGACCTTTGGCATGTCCCCTACAAACGGCCACCTCTTTGCTGGTACCGTCGACGGCATCTTGTCGGTGCGTCGACGGACGCCCAAGAGAACCGAACTGAACGAAAGCCGGACTCGTCAAGCCATCATTCGCGGCGGGACGTACAAGTACTTTTTGCGCGGCAAGAACGCGAAACCAGCAGCTGCAGACTTCATGGTGGCCACTGCACGTCATAAGCGTATCCAGCCGTATGACCAGGCGCTGCGAAAGTTTGACTACAAGAAAGCGCTGAACGAAGCTCTGGACACGCGCTCGCCGATCATTGTTGCGAGCATGCTGGAGGAACTGCGTCTGCGTGTTGGCCTCAAACGTGCACTGGGCAATCGCGACGAGGAGTCGCTCGAGCCGCTGCTGGCGTTCCTCATCAAATACGTGACGGACCCCAAGTACGCCTTGCTCCTGGTCCATGTCTGCACGATCGTGTGTGACCTGTATGCGCCGAAGCTCAGCCAGTCCATGCTCATCGACAGCTTGTTCATCAAACTGCACGAGAAGCTGAACGAGGAGCTGCGCGACCAGAGGCAGGTATTGGGTGTTGTGGGCATGATGGACTCGCTCATGGCTGCCCAGACCAACGGCGCTGTGGGTGTAGAAGACAGCAAGTAGTTTATTCAGGAATACGATGCTAGTTGTAGCTTCCCACGTGCGTGCTCAGCAGTGCTCCTTCTCTGCTACGCGCATCCGACCATAGCTAGTCGATTAGTACGCATAGATAGATGATGGATAGTATGCCACAACACACGTCAGCATGCAACGCGTCCAAACGAACAGCAGACCGTACATTCTCCGTTGAGCATACATGCAGCGCACCGCCTGAGCTAGCCGTTGCAACTTAGTATCGTCCGTCCATCTCACCGGCCCATGCTCCATCACTTTTATCGACAAGCCTATTTAGAAAGAACGTGGATGACCTTGAGCACGTCCTCGTACTGGATCTTCTCCTGAACCTTCTTCGCTTGCATCTGATTGTGCTCATTGGGCTTGATGTGAATTAAATTACCCGCAACCGTCCACTGCTCGGCTACACACGACCGACAAAAGCAACAACAACAACAACAACAGTCGTTACAAATCATCGTCATGATGACAAAAACACCACCAGCATCGACCAGTGATAGACACAAGATCGTGGCCACATACCAGCGACAATGTCAGCCACTTGCTGGTCCGACACATTGAGCTTGGCCTTGAAAACGTCCGTGGAAACGACACTGCAGCTGCGGTAGACGGCCATCAAGATGTAGGCGCGCACTGACTCCAGAAAGCCCGGCACGTGGGATGCAAACGCCACGTCCTTCTTCCAAAAGTCTTCGAAGAGACACGACTGGAGCATAAAGCCCGTGTCAAGCACTGCCGATACATCCGCGTCCTGCCGTCCACAGCATCACACCATACAACCACAACACGACACAACACGACACGACACGACACACAACGCACAGAGAGAGCATCAGACCCTTCTCCGCCAACAGCGTCTCAACAAAAGAGCGGAACAGCTCGGATCTCGAACCTCGCGAATGCTCTCAGGGACCATAGTCGACGCGCCCGTGAAGAACGTGGACGGGAGCGCCATGACGCCCTTGATCAGAACCGTGGCGACGGTCGCTGCCTTCAGTGTCGATGGGTACAACTGGTACAACTTGAGCAGAGCCAAGTTCGCATCCACATCGACGCTCGAGGCCTGCACTTGTTCAGCCAAGTACGCTTCCAGCACCGGCACGGCAGACTCTGCACAGAAGCCACAGCTGTTGTGCACGTGCAGGAGCTGCTGCTGCGTGGCGGACGCGTCGGCCGCCGTGGCAAAGTCCACGATCGTCTGGTGGGGGAACGCCGGCATGCTGGGGAGGGACTGCGAAGACGGCTTGCGGGGCGCGAACGTGTTTGATTGGTGGAGGGAGGGAGGGGTGCGGTCGCCCGACGGCTCGGAGCGAGAAGTCTCGATCGGAATGGACGGGGTATCAAATGTGCGAAGTCGAATCGAAAGACGACAGACTACTGCTGCCTGTGCTGCGTGGGTACTGATTTAGTATGTGACGCTGGATTATACGGTGTAGGAGATACGACGGTCAGGATCGATGGCAAAACAAACGCTCTCGGCCAAGTCGAAATCCGTGTACAGAGGAAACGTAGATTCATCCTGACGTTTTGGTGTGTTTTGGCAACGACATTGACCGTCGAAACAGGGAGCAGCAGTTGTCCGTTTCAGTATACATGTAAGCGTATACCCGCGATTCAGTTTCTATCCGCTGCGTTGTGACACTCGGTCATTTCTATCTGCGTCGTCGTCCTCTCCCCGAGCTAAACATTGCAGCCGAGCGTGTACTGCTGTCAGCACAATACCCACCGTAACCATTGCCGAAAATACGAGTCGTACCTATCGTAACCCTTCCGCAAAATTCCAGTTACACTGCGTCATGGCGTCGACCGCCGCCGACGAGACGCTTCGGACGACCGCTGCCGCAGCTGCAGACGCCGCTCCCGTCGCCCCCGACGCCCACGAGCACGTGGACAACAACGTCACGAAGAAGACGCTGGAGGCGGTTGATATGGCTCAAGCCGCCCACCGTCGTCGCTGTCGTCGCAGTACGACCCACAAGGACAATCGGAACAATAGCAGTGCCACTTGTACCACACTGGAGAGACCGGTGACGCACCCGACGAGCAGTTCCGAGGCAGCAGACGATGGCCCGTCGATGCATCGTCGACGTCAGGTCGTCACGTGTCGAGCTGCGACGCTGTGGGACTCAATCGAGTGGATCGCAATCGCTGGCGCCCACGTGGATGCCGGACAGCGACTTGGCACAGAGGGACGACTCGAAGACGGCACGTTGCGCTATTTGCAGGCTCCATGCAAAGGGAAATTGGGCCTATTGACGAAGGAGCAGTCGGACGAGATGATGGAGGCACAAGGGGACGAAGGCGCACGATCAACGAAGAGAGTTGTGGCTTTTGTCGAGTACTGCGTCCATCCTGTGCGCAATGGCCACACGTGTTTGATGTGTCTGGAAGTGGTTGAAGACGATGATGATGGGAGCGATGGTGGCGGTGGTGGCAGTGGCTATGGAGGCGGTGGCGATACGAGCGAGTCGACTAGTGTCAATGTGGTGTCTCATGGACAGGTCATTCGACTGAATCTGGAAGAAGCGAGTAGGGCAGACCATTTGTGATGGGTGCAGATGGAAGTGGGTGCTGTAGAGTGCCTAATGTCTTGCTGGACTTTTGTTCCTTTGTTGATGTGTGCGATCAGAAAAATTCGATTCGGATAATATTCGACGCCAGCTTGGTGCGAAGAAGCTATCGCTGGTGCTGGATCTCGACCACACTTTGCTGCATGCTGTGCGAGTGGATGATGTGGAAGGCAAGATTGCTACATCAGGTACGGTGTTTTGTGACGCGTGTCCTGTTGTCATTATGATACTTGACGGACAGCGTGGATGTTTTTGTAGACGACATTCATTTCTTCTTCATTTCGGGCCTGGACCAGCAGCACGTGGTAAAACTACGGCCAGGCTTGACAGATTTTTTGACAGAGCTTTCGGCACTCTACGATCTGTTCATTTACACGCACGGCACGCGACTCTATGCTGAGGAGATTGTCAAGATTATTGACCCAGATGAGACGTACTTCAAGAATCGCGTTGTGGCACGCACTGATACGCCAGACATGCTTCACAAATCGCTCAAGCTGCTGTTTCCTTCGTGTGACGACTCAATGATTCTCGTTCTGGATGACCGGATCGACGTGTGGAAGGAAAACGAAGCAAACGTGTTTCTCATTGAGCCGTACCACTACTTCAAGTGCACTGCCGAGATCAACAACGCATCGGGGCGCGGCGCGGCCGACCAGCATGATGCCGAGGTTACTGAAGACAGGTACCTTGCACAGTCAGTAGCAATCTTGAAGGTACGATGCAGTTGTCACAGCGAAGAGTGGGACTGACATTGACGAAGCTCATATTGCCTGTATGTATGAACCGAAGTATGTCCACAATACTTTCTACGAGGGTCATCGAACAGGAATGCGAGGCACAACTGTCGAAAACCAGATGGCCGGTCACGGTCGTGATGTGAAGGCGATTCTAAGCGAGGTGCGTGATCGAGTGTTCCAGTTTGGTGTCGCGTAGCTTACATGAGGATGTGGTGCAGCGAAAACGCGCAATCTTGCATGGGTGCTCGATCGTGTTCAGCGGGGTGTTCCCGATCGTTGGCCCCAGAAGTCACGAGTCTCACCATCTGTGGCGTCTATCGGTGGATTTGGGCGCCATTCCCAGCATGAGGTTGAAAGATTTCCCGATGACACACCTCGTAATTCATCCGGACCGCTTGGGAACTGAGAAGCACGCTCAGGTTGGTCAGCTTTACCGCACGAGTCAATGAACAAGGTGTGGCTTTGACGCTTATATCGTGTGGTGTATGCAGGCGAAATCGATTCCTGGCGTGCTGATTGTGACACCCGACTGGATCCTGAAGTGTGCTCGAACATGGTCCCACGTATCCGAACAGGAGTTTCTCGCCGACGAATGGAAAGCGAAACATGCAAAGAAAGAGTCAGTGAAACAAGAGGTAAACGCAGACGTGTCTGTGAAAGCAGACGCGCCCGCTGAAACACCGAGCGCGACCTCCGTGAGTACTAGTGATGACATAAGTGGAAGTAAACCGTCTGCAGCCGTTTCACTCGCTGTTGAAGGTAAGCCGGCCATGAAGGACCTTGCCGACCAGCAACCGGGTGATGCGAAACGTGGTAAGCAAGTCACGTTCGCTGACGACGTTGCCGATCCTCCGAGTGACGACGGCACTGGAAAAATGCCTTCGACGGTAAGACAGTCTCGCGTGATTCGCCGATCACCTGTTGCTCGTCGTGCACGTACTGCTCACGCTGTCGGTGGTGTTGCAACTGGCGTTGTGGCTACGGGCGGTACGTTTGATTTCCTGTCAAAAATCAGCGCAATCAAACGTGGGCCAGCGACAAACGTTAAGGTTGAGAAGACCAAAGTGACTACGAAAGATCGTGCACGTCCGGTTTCGCCACCTAAGGTACATGCCGTATATTGCAAGAGACTTTCTGTTTCGCTGACAACTGCGCTGACGACCTGCGAGCGATAGGATGTGGACGATGCGTTTTTGCGGCTCATCGAAGCAGAGGAGCGTGAAAATGAAGAGGAGAAAAAGCGCAAGCAGTCGTCGACTGAGCTCAAGGACCAGCTTTTCACCCGACGTACGAAGCAAAACACCAGCAAAAAACATCCCCGTGACTCCGATCCTGGTACAATGAAGCCTGACGAGAAACGAATGCGGGTCACGGCCCCAGAGCAGTCAAATGGAGCTTCGGGAGATGATAGCGAGGATGAAGAGGTAGGCTGCAACAATTGCTGCTAGCTGGTGCTGGACCGTGACTGACAACTGTTGTGCGAGCAGCTGGATGACTTGGAAGCTGATATCTTGGGAGACATGTGAACTCTGTTGCATGGCATCCTTTCCGCCTCACATTCCATCGCGATTGCTTCGTTTGCGGTGAGGTACGTATGTGCTGACACCGGCGGACACAGCAAGCGAAACCGTCGGTATGCCGACTCGGCCTTGCACGATGTTACGGTGCCGCTCGATGTGCACAGGACTCGCTCAGTCCCTCGAGTGGTTCAGATTGCTCGCTGGAAACAAGTACGGCCACATGTCTCGCTAAGCAGCGACTGCACCCTGACGCGCGTTGACGAGCCTCTTTCCAAAGCATGAAGCGTGCATTGATAGCAGCTCATGCGCTGGACCAGCGAAGGTAAATTGTCGATGAGGCTGCTCACTGATTCTGCTTTTCGTGCAATCTAGTGAGCTTCGGGTCATGCTTTCTCGAACACAAAGTCTCACTTGTTTCCGGCTTTTGGCAATCCAATGCACGACTTGCACACAGAAGTTGCGATGCAGCAAGTGCACTACTGGCACGACTTGCACGGTGGCCTATAGGTAAAGAGAGCATATGTATGGTCCAGCAGGTAATTCATGCACGACACATACACACTGAGGTCCGCCTACTTTGGCCTACGCATCCAACAAGTAGGTAGTTGCCACACGCAAAGTGCCACGATGTACACATCCAGTTTTGCAAACTATCTGAAACCCCCGGTGGGCGACACTAGCACGGCAGCATTACGCTTCGGATGAGACATCGACGCACGAACCGTTCTCTTGACACTCTGAAGACTGAACGAAGGAATGGTCTCGACAGTCGGTCGCTAGTGTCGTATGTGGACTCTGTCACTTGACCAAAACTCGACGTTGTTGTTGTGGATCGAAACATCGTCTTGCAGATGTCACGATAGTGTGATAGCGTGTACACGAGCTCGATCCACAATGACCCACTTGTCATTGCCCCCTCTTGTGTACGGAGCGTCGGGCAGCGGTGTAAGGTAGTGGTGCCTGCGGGTAATGAACTAACTAAAACCCAGCGCAAAAGATATCGCAACTATGCCTGGCAGTAACCCGAAAAGCTACACATGCCAACAATTGCCCGTTGAGACGGTCGGCAAGGCCCAGTTGACCAGCGAATGTACATGAACAGCGCCTTGCTCCCATAAGCTGCAACTAGCTAGAGAGTGTGCTGATCAACGATCTTCGTTGACGCATCGATGCACTTATCACTGGTAGCGATACATGACAAGTGTGTCGCGTATCACTGCACGATAGACTGTTTCCCCTTTTGCTAGCACGCTGTCAAAGATGACCGTTCTTTCGTACAGCGTTGAAGTGACCGTGTTGCCTACGAGCAATGTTCTGGTGTTGTGTCGCCACGCACGACGTACACATCGCCACAGCCTTGTGCGTCTACGATGTTTCTGCTGATAGTGCATGGACGAGGAAAGCATACCCTCATGGATAGCTTTATGTCTAGGCAGGTGTGCTTGCGCGTGCACAGCTATGGTTGACAGCAGATGAACCTGCACACTACGCAACATGTGGTAGCACCGTGGACTGAGATACTCACGAGCCTCACCTTCGTACTTCTTCATCAAACGCGCTCTCAGCTTCTCATCGCTCTAACGTCACGTCTAGCGCAACGATCTTCACAGTAGCTGGCAAGATCCGACAATGTTGGTGCTGTTTGAGCTTTTACAGACCTACAAGGGCAGATCATGTGAGTGCCAACTGCACCTCAACGCAGGTGTAGCAGGTAAAACAACTGTTAGGTCTCAATGATACATCAGGTAGCGAAGCCTTACTATGGAGGCGCTCTCCGCAACACGAGGACGCGACGTCGCTTGCCGCTAATCACTTTCAACGAGCGAAAATCAATAGAGAGCGCAGCAGATGGCACCTGAACGAAATGACAAGCCACAACACCTCACCGCGTTCATATCCCGGCTGGTGGGTGTTCTTTCTTGCAAACATGACAGCTTCTGTCAATGGGTATGGCGGCAGTTCATGCGTGAGTCTACAGCTTCTGTCGTCTCTAGCGCCGCTATGCTGTCTTCACACAAAGGCTGACATCCTGCCACTATTTTGTTGAGCAAAGACGTCGCTGCCAGATCCCGCAGCACAACGAAAGCGATATCAGAACTCTTTCCCCAACATCGTGATCCTGTACATCGGCATGACAGGATCACTATCACTGATAGTGATCCGATCAATCAATGCTCTCGGATATGCCACCCGCCATCAGAGTTGATTGAGAAGGCGAAGCTGCGTCATTCATGGGAACTGCACAGTCACAGAGCTGCTGCTCTACTGAGAACCGTATGAGTAATGTCAAGACTCATTGAAGCTTTTGACTTGCCGACCCATCGCGCACGTATCGCAAGCAAAGTGCATGCGAATGTCAGTACGCGATCTTGTCGACCGTCTCGTCTTGTATGGAGGATAAACACGACCAGCTCCATATTTGCTCGAGGCACCTCGAGGATCACGAACATGGCTGGCGTATGTCCCTCGTGTCTCCCCGGGGTACGCACAAACAGACAAAGTGTGAAGCGTTGGTACACGGACGTACAAAATACAGCAAGTAGGAGCCTGAGCCTCTACATGTACTGACGTGCTGACGCTGACGTGGAAATGGTCCACTGCATACTCGAAGGATCGCAGACAAAAGATGTGCACGATGCCCATCGTAGGATCGCACGTGTCTCGTTTGCAGCCACAAACACATCGCGGCTGACTAACATCCCTCGATCAACAATAGCTTTGCTCAACAATGCCATGCTCGGCATCGTCCTCTCTACAGCCGGACGTGCAAACGCCATCCATCCATCACTATAACTCAGCCATAGGCTACAAATTATCCAGCAGCGCCACACTTCTCCCGTCATAAGGTCTTGCAAACGTTACCATGCACAGCCTTTGCGCGGCAAAGTGTATGGACGAACAGACATACTGGAAGGCTGTCTGTGAGCGTGGGTTGACACGAAGACGTCGCGCGGGTTGACATACCTTCATACGCACGCAGTCGTTGAACCCTTTCTGGTCTTCCAATGTACGTGGTTATCCTATGTTATACTACAGCCACTCAGTAAACCAGCAACTGGGTGACTGCAGGTCCAGCAAGCAACCGAGCGACCAACTGATCGACAAGCTATCGGTCGGCTACGCAGCCTCCAGCAGCAGTTTTGGCTTGTAGAAATCAGAATACCATTCCCACGTCTTGGCCAGTCCCTGTTCCAACGACGTCGTGGGTTTGTACCCGAGTAGTCGCTCTGCCTTTGAAATGTCGGCACTCGTGCGTGGCACGTCCCCCGGTTGGTCCGGCAAGATCTCGATCTTAGCCTCCTTGCCCACGAGCTTTTCAATGATCGAAATGAAGTCTGTCAAGAGCACGGGCGTACCGCGGCCGAGGTTAAACACCTCGCAGCCGTGGCCACGGTCCAAGCTCAGCACGACGCCCTGGACAATATCGTCAATGTACGTGTAGTCGCGCGACGACGAGCCGTCGCCGTATTGGTCAATGGCGACACCGCGGGCAATGCGGTCCATGAACTTGAACGGCGCCATGTCCGGGCGACCGCGAGGGCCGTAGACAGTAAAGAACCGCAGTCCAATCGTGTCCAGGCCATGGAGATGGTGGTACGTGTGCGCCAGTAGCTCACAGCTTTTCTTCGTTGCAGCGTATGGACTCACGGGGCAGTCGACGCTGTCCGTCTCGCAAAAGCGGTCCTTCGTGCTGCCCCCGTAGACAGAGCTGCTGCTCGCGTAGACAAACTTCTTGATGCGAAACTCGCGACAAGCGTCGAGCAGCACCATCGTCGCCACGACGTTTGCGTGGATGTACACGAGCGGGTGCTCGATACTGGGACGCACGCCAGCTCGAGCAGCGAGGTGGACCACCTCTTTGACTGCCGTCTCTTTCAGCACGCGGCGCACGAGGTGCTGGTCGCACACGTCGCCAATGTAGACGCGCACACGACTGCCGTAGGTGGTCGTGAGCCAGTCGAGGTTGCTCTGCTTGAGCCTTACGTCGTAGTAATCGTTGAGCTCGTCGAGAACGACCACGTCGTCGCCTCGAGCGAGGAGCGCATGGGCCGTGTGAAAGCCAATGAAGCCGGCGGCGCCTGTCACAAGGACGCAGCGACGGGCATTGGCTGTCGTCGTGTCGTGGACGAGAGGCAGCGCGTCGGACACGTCGAAGAGACTCGGAGCCATTTGGCTTTGGACAGTCGCGCAGCGAGTAGTGGTCCAGAAACGAGCCACGGGAGCTGTTGGTGGAGAATCCAAAAGTGACGAGAAGACGGACGACTGCAGTCGTTGAAGTGGCGTTGTGCGATAGAGGAGGAGGAGGAGGCGGTGGATGACAATACCGAAGGAGGGGGGAGTTAGTTGTTGGTAGTTAGTTGCTGGTTGGCCTTCGGTCTCAGCTCCGGTGACCAATAGGGAGGCAAATAGCGGCCGACAATAGCGGTTGTTGTCTCTTGTTGGTTTGCTGGGCTTCGGTAGACGAAAGAGCATTGCGAGCATTGCGAGCATTGCGGTCAGAGTGTCGCGCTAGAGCGTTTTTCGGTCGCGTCTCTTGAGACAACGAGCGAAAAGCGCACTTGCCTGTCTGATGTGGAGGAGGGGCTTCCCCCGTGACTTTCTGATCGTTCAGGTGAGACGTCCGTGGAGGTTTTGCGAGCGAAAGCGCTCGACCGTCGACTGGGTTGCAAATCCGTGGGAAAATGAATCTGCGACCGGCTGCTGAATCGTGCGACAGAGTTCGCAGTTGTGAAAGCGCGTCGGGGTCTGCCGCTCGCTTTCGATGCGACCGATCGGCTGTTCGCGCTCTGCGCCCGCGCACGAACGCAAGCAGCTGACCAACTCGCAACTGTTGACGAAGATGGTGTGGGTCTTGGATTCGCTCGCTTTGGTCTCTTCTGCACATTGCCATCGCGTATCGAGACACATCCACGAGCGTGTTCCTGAATCTTGCGCGCTCGGACTCGCATGTGGTCATATCGGCTGATAGCCAGCCGAGACCACATCGAGTAGTTCGCTGAGCGAGCTGACTGTGGACCCTGACGAAGGCGATCGCTGTTACAATGGCGCAGTGGGGCTAGGAAGTTTCACAGCACGTAGAGGTTACGAAGACATCCGAACTGGTGCAAAGTGTACTCATAGGCGACGAGATCGTACCATAACGCAGTGATACTGCGGCGGGACAAATGCCGGTCAGAGCTGATCGATCTGAACGTTGTGCCAGCGTTTGCAACGATAAAGCTATCCAAAAGGATTGAGACTTGGCACGATGTTCCCAGCCGTCAGCTCACAACAGTCAGCACCGACTTTTCGTCTCTCGTGATGCTAAAGCAGTACATAAAGACATGACCGCAGGGTATGCGCGGCTCCTTGCAGCAACACGCACAAACTCGCCCGCAAAAATCCAACACGGTGTTCCCGGATCGCGGTTGGATTTTCCACGCACTGAATGGTGTGGTGGACCTGCTGTCGCGCGAAGGTTGCGCACCGCAGTGTCCTGGACAAAGTGTTGCCCCAAATCGTGCCGCAGAAATGGTACAAAACCAGGGCGTCGAAGCGTGGATGGATCACTTTTGGCGAGCTGACGCCGACGTCCACAAGACTCGAGTCCGTGGGACTCCTCATCCACCACCGAGCAGACCCTCCGCAGGCCCCGGCAATTGGTACAATAGTCGAACAAGAACAGCAGCAGCGGCATCAGCAGCAGTAGCAGCACGATGAGCAACGCGCTCAAGGCGGTGTCCGCGACCAAGTACGGCGCTGTTGGGGACATCGAAGCAAGCTCAATGCCCGAAGCAAAGGCTGCGGCCAGTAGTGCATTAGTAGGACCGATTCCGACTGGATCCGTCGTGGCAGCAAGCGCGACAAAGGATGGACGAGATGGCAAGAACATATGGGACGAGTACTACCCGCTCGTGCAGCCAGCGCACCAGTACCACCACCGCAACGATCGGAATTCGTCCAACTACTTTTTCCACGGCATGTTCTCGGCCGACGTCATGTGGGCCTATCGTGACGCAGTCATTGCCTATCTCGTGGCGCTCTACTCGATGGTCGTGCTCTCGCTCACGGGGCTCGTGTTTTGCAAACAATGGGGCATCGGACCGGACACGCCCATCGTGTTTGCCTTCCGCTGTCTGTGGTTTATCAGTCCAGCAGTGGCTTCGCTTGCTCTGCGAAATAGTACGTTGGCAGATGACCGAGCAAAGATCTGTCTTGTTATGATGCTGGCTAGAATGGAGCACTCACTGATGCACGGTTGTTGTTCTCGTTGGTGTAGTTGCGAGGTTGAGATTGCAGGCCTGCAATACGCCACCACATTGGAACATCCCGCCGTTGTACCACCTGTTCAGAAGCTCTCACTCGTCGAGATCGACGCTCCGACTTGCACTGTTGAGCTACGCGGTTCCAGTGCTATGTGAATTAGCGGCCTTTTCATTCACTGCTGCGACGAGGATGGTCAACCCGGTCCGTCCGTTTGTAGGAAGTATTTTGCCACATGATTGCTGACGTTGTCACTCGTGTGCTCGTTCCAGTTTAACCGCACCTTTGTGCGAAAGCTGGAAATCGTGTTCAGCTTCAACGACGTCGAGGCGCTTGACTCCGGGTTGGTGCTCTATGTGTTCTACATAAGCTTTCTCGGTATATTTTGGGACCCAATGCCGCCACCACGATACGACGTCGGCCTCGCGATGGGGTTTCGAGCATGTGGTAAGATTGCACGCTACTGTCTGTCTTTGCTCAGAGCTCTATGGTCGATCTATTACTGACTGTCCTAGCTCATTCGTGTTGATTCAGGTACGAGTTGGTTCTTCTTGGCGATGATTCAGGAGATCGGATGGAGCGGATCTTTGTTTCCAGGTGGGTACCTAAGTCTGCTACGATGCCTTGCAACGACTTTGATCTCACGACAGACGATCGCCGTTGATGTTGTCTCGACCACAGCGCTCGAGATTATTTTCAGCCATTCGACTATCCTTGCTTCGGCAATCACCGGGTGCATCTGGGCGCTCTGGCACTGGCCCATGATCATTGCCGATGCACTAGAAGTCGTGCCGAAAGGCTCGGGCTACTTGGTCGCAGAAACGTCGAACTACCACCTTCTCTACGTGCTGGCAGTATTCACGCTACTTCTCGTTGGCTCCCGCATCATAATGTGCTGGATCCAGGGCAACTCCAGCTACGTCATCTGGTCGAGTGTCGTCTACCACGCCGCGCACAACCTGTACGTGCTGCACGTCTGCGGCAGCTTGAGACAGTGTGGAGATCATCCTGTGATGCCTAACTCTGTGTCGTGTCGTGTCGTTGCCTTGACGTTGTATCCCTATTGCAGGTTCATCACGTCAGTATTTGGTCAGCTGACTGCCCCGCTCTACGAAAAAGCCCAATACTTCAGTTTCTTCAGCTCCGAGGCGTCCATCTGTCTGCTCGTGACCGTGTGGTTCTCGACAAGCATTCTCTCGCAGCTCTTTCGATGGACAGATCTCATGCCGATGCTGCGGCGAGCGCACCCGAGCGCCACGCGCGCGCTCGCTGCGTAGCACGTGCTTGTCATGTGCCGCTCGCTGCCTTGGACTGCCTTTTGTTCACTTTGTAACGTCAGTCGCTGTTTGCTGTACTTAAGCAGTACTTATCGAACCTGTTCCCTGTAATCGAGAATAAAACCCAAACGTCTGAACCCGTCAGAGCTCGAGGCGGCGGCAGTGGGTCCACCCACTTTGACTGCGTCCAATTGTCCGACGTCCCGGGCGGATCATTCGTGTGCACGCACACAAAAGTATCAGCACCCATTGCCGTCCATGGGTCTCCTGCGTCTCGTGGCGGTGGTGGCTTGTTGGACTGCCTGCTCCTGCAGCGCCAACCATAGACACGCCCCGTCTATCCTTCTGCATACGCCATCTGTCATTCTGCAGCGAGTGGACTTTGAAGTGTCAATTGAGCTGCTGGAGCTCAAAAATGGTGCGTACCACTAGTCATATTCCGTGTCTTTCATCCTCATCCTCACCACCCTCTACCGCAATATAACTAACAAGCGAGACTACTGCTTGTTTTGGATAAGGGTCTGTCTATCCACGAAAGTTGTGGTACCTCGTACAAGATGCAGACGGGAATGTGCTTGTCAACAGCAGCGTCTTAACGCCCGATAGTGATGGCAACTTCCGCTCGCACGTGTCGATCACTGTCAAGCAATTGCAGCTCAAGTCGTACGGACAACATAACCTCACTACAATCGTGTGGGAAGAAGAGCAAGCGCCGAAAAAGCAAGAGCCGATCGAGGACGTGGATGGGCCCTCGGAGTCATCACGAGGGAACGCATCGGAGGTCCTGCATGAGACAGTCGAGTCCGATGAGGTGCCACTATTTCGTGCATCATGCACGACTCCTGCCATGGTGACACCTGGATGGGTATCTCTTCTACCACCTCTCGTGACTTTGGTCATGTCGGCTGTGCTAGGCCAAGTAGCAGTGTCTCTTCTTGCTGGTATCTGGTGTGGAGCTATCATCGTTTCGAACGGAAATCCGTTCACGGCGTTCTTGCGCACGTTTGATCACTACTGGGTGACGTCGTTTACCGTAAACGACCACGCTGGTGTGCTGCTGTTCACGATCATACTCGGTGGGACTATTGGCGTGGTCCAAAAAGGCGGAGGAGGTCATGGTCTGGCGCTAGTTGCCAAGAAGTTTATGACGTCGCCGCTGCGCATGCAACTGTCAACTTGGTTTTTGTGTCTTGTGATCTTCTTTGACGACTACTCTTGCATCCTGATTGTTGGAAGCTCCCTGCGTCAAGTGCTGAGCCAGACTGGAGTCAGCCGCGAGAAGTTTGCAGCGATCATCCACACCATCGGTGTCTGCTTGCCGTCGATGTGTACGTGTATTATTGACTCCACGTTACTATTGATCTCGTGATCGTGTATGTAGCTGACAGCTTTTGTTTTGGAAACCTATTGCTGTGACTACACCACAGCCCCAGTGAGCTCCTGGATTGGCGTTGAGATTGGCTACGTAGCAGCGCAGCTTCGCGATCTCCAGCTTGATTGGGACCCGTTCGTCACCTGTCTGTCGTGTCTGCACTACCGGTTCTTTCCGATCCTTTTCATTGCTTTCATTTTCATCACGATCATTTGCGAGAAGGACTTTGGCCCGATGGTGCAGTTTGAAAAGGACGCCGCAGTATCTCCGATCAACAATGGCGCCATGACGCCGGTCTTACCAGGGCCGATGGATAGCCCACGACCCGATCTTGCCCCCTCGGAGCCCGACACAAGCAAACCGCTCCGGTGGCAAAATGCTGTGGTGCCGTTCCTGAGCATTGTCGTGTTGACGTTCGTGGGAATGATCTTCGATGGCGTTAACGCCCTATACACACAGGATCCCGACGGCGATTTCAGCATTTTGGACGCGCTGAGCCACTGTGACTCGGTTTCTTCTTTGATTCGCGCGTCTGCTGCTGGCTGGGTCATAACTGTTGCGCTGTTGCTGTCGCAACAGATCATCACGCTGAACGAAGCCACGAAGGCTTGGATGGAAGGAGTCAAGGATATACTGGATCCAACGGTGATTCTCACGCTTGCGTGGGCTCTTGGTGCGGTCATGGGCGAAGTGCGCACGGCCCCGTACATCGCATCGGTAGTCGGCGAGTCGATTCCAAAGCAATTCCTGCCAGCAATTGCTTGCCTGCTTTGCTTCATCGTGTCCTTTGCCGTGGGTAGTGGCTTCGGCACGATGGCCATCATGTTCCCTATCATCGCGCCGCTGTCGTGGTCTATCAGCGGTGGAGACGCGGAGAACCTGCGTCAGTGTTTCGGCAGTATCCTGGGCGGCTCCGTGTTCGGGAACACTTGCTCGCCCATTGCCGATACGTCCATCCTAGCGTCTCTCTCGGCGCATGTGCCGTTGGAGAACCACGTTCGCAGTATCCTGCCATACGCTCTCTTGGTCGCCGTCGTGTCCGTTGCTGGTGGCTATCTTCCAATTGGATTGAAAATCTGCAGTGCCTTTACGGCGTTCGGCATCTGTCTCGCAGTGCTGTTGCTCGTCGTGTTTTTCTTCGGGACTCGAGTCAACACGCGGTACCACTCGCTATCGTCGTGCAGTCCCATGAGCATGTCGCCGCCATCGAGATACAACGGCGAAGGGCAGCCATTGCTGTTGGCATAACTTTCGGAGCTATAGCTGCAACGTTCTTGTTGAAGTGAACAAACACAGTAGGTCGGGTTTGCACTAATGTAGCCATGTGCACTAGAAACGGATAATCGCGATTTCAATCATTCGGGACCAATCGTAGTGTAGCCATTGCACATGACTGACGCCGTAGCGCTGGACCTGACGGCCGCGAGTAACCCGTACTTGGACTACTACCACAAGTTTGTGCGGGAACATCCAGGCGAACTCACGGCAGTGTTTGACCCGGAACTCAGCGATGACGTGCGCTCCGAGATGTACGCGGCGCTCGACGTGCGCGTTGCAATGGTGCGAGTTGCGTGGCTGGCTGGGATGCCTGTGTGAGACGTGTGGATAGTACTAACAAGTGTAAATGGTGTGCAGAAGTACTCGTGGGCGATCCCAGATGAGCGTGCACTTCAAATTATCAAGCATTATGGACCGGTGAGCGACTTTATCTGCTTTGCACGCATGTATTTCACCTAGACACATCTTCTACATATCTCTGCTTTGTTACCTACGTACGTATGTATGTGTATCAACATTTGTATGTTTACGATGGATGTGGAAGTTGGCTAAATTTGGTTTGCTTGGATGGTAGATTGTCGAGATGGGAGCTGGCAGCGGATACTGGGCACGGCTGCTCCAGCTTCGCGGCGTCGATGTTGTCGCGTATGACTGGCATATTGCTAGTGACGGCGACGAAGAAAACAAGGAGAGAGAAAACGATGCTGGCAAAACTGCTGCAACAAGCGGGGAAGAGAGCCATGGCGAAGCCGAAGATACGCTGGAAAGCGACGATGGACAAGCGGATGAGGAGCAGGGGCAGAGAGAAGGTGCGGAAGAAATTGAACATGAAGGAGAAGAGGACGAGGAGGTCGAGGACGAGGAGGTCGAGGACGAAGACGGAGATGATGTGGAAGTTGAGCAAGTGTACTGGACAAACGTGGTTAGCGGAACACCAAAGGTACATGCAAGCACGTGTCAACGCGACTGATGCACGAGTTGGCTGTGTTGACGATCAGAATTGCTGCTGTGCACAGGATCTGCGAAAACATGCAGACCGTGCGCTGTTCTTGTGCTACCCTGACGATTTTGAGGACAGCAGCGAGTCCATGGCGATGGCGAGTCTTTGTAACTATGGAGGTGATACGGTGATCCATGTTGGGGAGCTATTCGGTCATACTGTATGCCTTCCGAACGCATGGTGAGTTGTTCACACCTCGAGCATGACTTCTTGCCATGACAATTCGCGTGTTCTGAGCGTGCTGATATCGTACTTCTTTGCAGGGGTAGAACGTCGTCTGAGGAGTTTCAGACCCACCTAGCGACTGTGTACCACAAGGTGCTGCAAGTCCCGCTACCGTCCTGGCACTCCAGTATCGATACTCTGACTGTGTGGAAGCGTACCAAGTCATCGATCGTGAACGGCGCAGTGTATGCGTACATCCCCGAGGACCAGCGCCTCGACCTGACTGCTGCATCTCCATCTACTCGTCATTTGCTGCTTTGCGGCAATACTAACAATGATGCAGTTGCAGCAGCTACAGCCGGCAAGAGACACAATGGCGAAAACGAAACAGAATCTGCTGAGAATGGCGGTGAGGGTGAGCAGAGGGCCAATGGCGAAAACGAAACAGAATCTGCTGAGAATGGCGGTGAGGGTGAGCAGAGGGCCAATGGCGATAGCGCAGTGGCACGTACAAGTGGGACGAAGCGGGTGAAGCGTTGACAAAAGATTGGCGTCTACTAAGTGATGATGACATTTGCACTTGCATGAGGTAAATCGGACCACTGGTAGCAATGGAAGCAAAGACTCATACGATCAAAGTGTCAGCAGTATCACTTGGAACGTGATAGATGTGGCATTGAGGTGCACTTAACTGAACGACAGTTTGGTTCGTGGATGAGAGTTTGTCGTCGATCGAAGTACAATTGCTTCTGTAAATAGTGCGAGTCGAGTATATGCGGCCGAGAGCAGCTGCTTTTCGGCAAAAGCTCCGAACGACGGATGCGAGTGTTGTGAAAAGACTACAAAGCACCTGGGCAATCCATTGAGAAAAAAGGCAAAGCAAAAACGGGTATAGCACACAGGAAACATCTCGTCACTGCGCGACATCCTCTTCATGGCAAGTACTACACGTCAAGGTCATGCATGATCGACATGTGACCAACATAACGACAACAAAGCAGCGGGACGCGCAGAAATGTGATCGTAAATGAAGATGCTAAAACAAGGCACCATCATTACCCGAAAGTTGCATCGTAACTCAGATTTGGTACGACTGCGTACTATAGCCATAGCGTGGCACGTGCGTCCTAAAATCACTCACGTGCCGCGAGATACGTCCACTTTACGTATCGATGAGTCTGATTGCATGGAGCCTGTTGTATAGCACTGACTGTATCTCTGACATTCACGAGCAAGCATACAACGTTTTTGTCACGTTGTCATCAAGTCCTTCTTTATTATGGCTACACTGCACCTGATATGTACACGACTCGTGCTTGATTGTGAAAGAGCAGATAGAAGAAGCGCTGTGACCCCTGTTTGCTGGCAAATGTCGTTACGAAGAGTCTAGCGATGCTGGTGAAATAGCCTCAGTGGTATCACAAGCACGACAGTTAGTGAGGTCGACACGGATAAAAGCCGGTAGACAGGAGCGAATGTAGGTACTGTCAACATGTCGTGCTTCAAACAGCTCTCGTGTGCTATCCAGCGTCGTGAGAGTGATGTACGGATTTGACTGCATCATAGGCCTTCAGCACGTTAAGAAGTGGTCTTTTTTTCGTGGCCTTTCGTGACGTCTTGAGAGGCCTACGATACATACCAATCTACTTGTCATGTATAATGAATTAACTTTGTCCCGATCACATACTATCGTATAAGCGAACGCGCACGTTCAGCACATTTACTAAGCCCCAGACTGGTGGCAATTTTTGCACAGCATATTGAGTATGTAGGCTCATTGTAATAGGGTGAGCCCGTTTACATGTCATTGAACCCAAGTAGGGTCGATGCGGTTTAAGTAGAACCAGTCCAGCTGAATACTGCCTATACTAATAACCTGTTGAAATCAGTATGTGCGGTCAGTCCCAAGTTGAGATCCATTCGTTTTCAAAAGCCTCCACAATTTAATAGTTTATACTTTACAGGCGGTCCTGAATATTTTTATATTGATGACCAATATGGCAGACATAAATTTGACTCAAACTTTCTACATTCGGGCAGCTCAACCTTATAAAAATACGCTGAGATTGGCTTCTGAATGAGCTGGCTAGTCCTCATTATCCTGATCTTGTCCTTGGCTGTCTGGGTGGTAGCAAGAATCTCATAGTCGACAATGTCTTGCTGCAAGCCAGAACTGCTCCCAACAAATTTGCACACTGCAGTGCCTCAGTTGCATTCACAGATACGAATTCTTTAACTGTCATCGGCCTCTACTTCATCTTCTGGCACAAGATTGGAGGGGAGGTCATGCATAATTTTCTTCTGAGTCGGAACATAAGCAAATCTGCGCTCTACATAAAGCTGATGAGATTGCGAACATCCATTGGCTTTCGGTAACAAATCTCTTGAACCTGATCTTCGAGGTCCTTGATCACTTCAAATTCTATAGGCGACTCTTCAGGACCGGTGTCACAATATCATCGGTGGTGCGAATTTGACAATGGCGAAAGAAGTTGCGGATTGTCTGGTGGAGTGGTGGTCACAAATTCCTTGTGATCCCGACTCTCCACTGGCGCCCGGACGACCGACTAGCGGAGGGGGTACCCCGATTCCGTACTCTGTGTCTTCTTGCTCGTCTTGTGTACCCGTCGATGGGGCGAATTGCACTATTCTTGGTGGACTTGAGTTATAGCTGAACTTGACCGTTTTGGGCATATGAGTTGATCGGGTGAAAATTCTTCACCCGGTCAAACGTGGGGTGTATCGAGTGTAAATTCTTCACCCGGTCAAACGTGGGGTGTATCGAGTGTAAATTCTTCACTCGATCGCTTGTAACTTGGGTGCTCTCCCAGAGTCGCATGTATCCAAAGATGATGCTTGATCCGCGAGCCTTCTGACCACTTGAGCCGTCTCGCGATCTTGAATCTGAACCGGTAGGTTCCCTGAGTCCGATCGCAGTTGGGGGGTGAGAACTGATGATCCGCCTAGCAAAACAATCCAAAGGCAAAGTTTGTAAAGACGCGTGCGACTCTCTGTTCAACGGGAGGTCAAATTTCCTGCCCGGGAGAAGTCGACGCGTATCTTTTGTTGCATATTCAATTCTGTTTAATGCCAACCAAACCAAATCCAAACCTATGACTATGCCTATCTGTTCGCTACATCACTGTTTCGTATCGTCTGTCTATGTAATTCACCTCGTGCATCATGTGGCCACGGCAGATGCTCCGTAGCGGATCGCTAGTTAACGGATTGCTAGGTGGTGGATCACTCCGTAGCGGATCGCTCGATGGTGGATCGCTCCATAGTGAATCGCTAGGTGGTGGATCGCTCGGGGTGGATCGCGGTATGTGATCCACACCAATTATGTGTCCACACAATTACGTGTCCACACAATCAAGCATTACACACCCAGGGTGGATCGTGGTCAATCTCTCGAGTCTCTGATCGGGCATCTACCTTCGAATCGCCGTTGCTTTTGAGACCTCGCATGTTTGATGATATTGACGATCCACTCCTCGAGCAAACTTCCACATTCATCTATTTTTCATTGTCGTAATCGATCAAGTACTCCAGTTGACGTTCACCCCTTGAGCGATCCGGTCTTTGTACCTTGGTGATCCAAGCCCTTGATCGCGGATCGCGTTCCGTCAGTCGTCGATTCTTGACTATACTCTTTCTTGACCATTAGGTAGAATAATCCGCATAATTTACACAGTCGTTTTCTGTCATTAAGTCGTTTGATCCCATCATTCGTGCCAACGGACCTACCTCCGAGCGCACTCCACCAATCAAATCGATCTCGCACTTAATCCGGTAGGCGCGATCCACACTTTCCATCATTATTCTTTTGCGCTTCTCCACAATTGTCTCTGCTTTACATTCATGCTCCAGACTGCAACAGAAAAATACATAGCCTCGAGCACGTCGATCTTCTCAGGTATATTACCTTGTGCTGAAGGCGCTGAATAATAAGCCGATTGAACGGCTCCGTTTAGTAAGAACTGGGGATTCGGATAATTCCTGCGTCGCAAGGATAAATTTTCGACGACGTGTTTGGCGGTAATTAGAACACGGCTGTGTTGCGGAGTGTGACAACAGATGTGAGCTGCAATTTAGATTTAATATAGGTCTCCAAGCAGGACAGTTCTTTCGGCTGGAGGAACTTTACGGACTAGAACCTTTTATACATATCCTGCGCTCTGATGTAATTTTGGCGAGTAGACGTAAAGGAGAAAAATGATTTGAAACTTTACCTCAACTACGCTTACGTATTTCTTTCTTCTATCCACGCGACCGCGGCTAGGATTGCCAATTTAAAAATTAAATTACGTACCTTTCGAGCCATTAACGAGCCCACACTTCAGGAGAACATTGACTCACGATTCAAAGCAATATGATTCTCTTGCATCCACCTCCATTCTAGACTTAGTGCTTCGACATATTAGGGTGTTGAAATCTGTTTTGTGATGTAAATCTCCTATAATTGCTGATGTGAAGCGCAATCTTTCACTTGCCTAGACTTACCGACTGACGGAGGAGGTACTCCGATCCGTGCCTTGATTTATGGTCCTGTGCTCACCTTGTATACTCGTCAATTGGGTCGTCTTGGGCAGTTTGAAGCGGCCTTCGGAGACGTCGATATCGTCCTTGTATTTAGGATCGAGTGTTGATCTATGTGCGAAATCTTCACACAGAGATCGGGGTTTCTTGTGTATCGATCTAGCGCAGTCCAGTCTTAAAACTCCTCGCTCCAATTTTAATTACTTATGCTGTGCCTCGATACATATCTTCCATTTATTTCCTTTCCTTTCTGTTTTTAATCGCAGTTAAGTTTAAAACACTTGCGCGAACCGCGTTCAAAGTCTCGCGACCGGTTCTCAATCTTGGCTAAATCAGCAAGATCGGTCTTTTGCGCCTTGAACACGCGTGACTTCTGTCTTCAAGAATACAAAGAACTCTTGCTTGAATACAGTAGCGCATATCGTAAGCGAAAGAGAAAATATCAACGTTTTATATGAAGTAGACATTTTTGTAGCCTACACATCACCATGTCTATCCTAAAATTTTGGATATCTATCCAAATAATATCACCTATACGCTAGCTTGTCCCTTTTACTATGTGCCAAAGATTTCTGGCCAATATCTCAATATTTAGCTAAAAAAAATCGCATTATTGTACTTTCCACGCAAAATATCTCAATACACGAACAGTAAGATAATAATCAAATATATCATGAATGTATCCAAATATTGCGCCACATGTGCTTGATTTGACGTTGGTGTACCAATAAGGACCCTAACTACCAGCTATTTCGATCTTAACTATTCATGGCGTCTCGTTCACCCGTCTCTATTTGACGCCTTTAATGTTTACCTCCAAGTGTTAGATGTCCTCATCCAAATTGACATCTTGATCTTAACTGACATTTGTTGGTATGTAGATGGTTGGGTATTGACATACTACTGATCCGTGACCAATTACTTACACACCCATCCCACATGTAGTCGATAGGCATTTTCACTGGTCCTAGATGCTGTGGAGGACAATGTTCTTAGAAATG